GTCTGACAAGTACAATCCTAAAGGACTTTTAAAAAATCGCACAGTGTGAGCCCGGCTTCAAGTAGCATTGCCAACTACATCTTTCAGTATCCTAACAGTACCTCGGCTGTTTTTAAAATAGCTTTTCCAGTAATGGGATATTTAAAAAAAGAAAAGAATTAAGGGGGTCTGAATACTTTCCGTACCCACTGTATATATATATACTTATAATACAGTATGTATGAGATATATATATATATATATATATATCTGTCCAAATCCTGTTTAATGTTGAGATCCTTGATTTTGTACCAGAAATATACCGGTAGTAACATCATTACACAACATAACATTACAAAATATCCTCTCAAGGTGTGGTCATATTAGTGACATTTTGGTGAAATTTCAAAGGCTAAAAGGTCCATTGTTTATTGTCAGTAGTGTACCAATATATGAAGCACAGCTCACACAGAAGTCACTTACATACCAAGCAGCTTTCCGTTGGTCAACTCACCAAATCCACGTGACTGACTTGAACCCATTGCAAAATCAATGTTAAGAATTATTTAGCTCCAACTCGAAATTCCTGATCACATCGATTCCTATTGAAATGACTGGATTTTGCACGTGAAAATTCACAGAACAGTGGTAAATGTGACTTTACAGTAAATGGCTTCAATGTAGTTAGCCACTTTTTAGTAACTTGTAGTGTAGCTACTTTGACAGTAGTTTAACTAGTTTAAATAATGAGTAGCCTGAGAAATCTCAAAGTGGTTTCTTCAAAACTGCTGACAAACGTGTCTTCTCTGTTCTTTTCATAGGCTGGATATAATCGTTCCCTCTCCATGCAACCGTTCCCATAGTTACGAATGGGCCACATGGATGGACTAAAGAGGAGGATTTTTTGTTTTTGTTTTTCATTTGTAAACCAATTCCAATTGTGACAAAGTGATAAACCTTGACAACGATGCTGTCAAAGCGCATCAACAGAGATGCACTGATAAAGACCCACGTCAGTGTTTGCTAGCTACAACTCTGTTCCTACACTCTTCTGCTGTCTCCTCTTTTTTCCTTCTTCTGCTGTCTCCTCTTTTTTCCTTCTGAGGGAACGTCCTGTTTGACTGCGGCAGCGCAAAGGGACACATGTGAAGCTCACAGCCGTCGCTTGCCAAAAAATGACAAGAGATACATAATTCTCACTCTTAGTTTGGAGGAAGTCTTCATGTGAGCAGGAAGTCATGAGAAGCATGTTGCTGGAGAGTTGAAGCTTTCTTTTACTTTCGTACCTTGAGTTCTTGCCATGGAGTGCGTTTTGGCTTGTTTTATCCCCTTTCCACCTTGAGCTGAAATCACAAACAAGTGCAAACTTCACAGAGGACACTCTCTCTGACCTTCCCCATCAGCTCCCTGAGTATGTAACCTCACAACTCGATCTGAAGTGGAATGAGAGGCTTCTGAGGCTTATTAGAAGACATGGATTCTAGCTGTAGTACCTCTCTTCTCATTTCAGCCTGAAGGAACGAGTGTTCTCCCACCATCTTATCATGATCCTGGCTGAAAATGGACAGTCCAACCATCCGAGCAGCTCAGCTGAGAACATGAAAAGATGTGTTTTGGTGTTCAGGGGCTTTATGAAGCTGACTTCATGGCCATTATCTGCTATTATTTCCTTTTTCTCAAACTGACAGAAGAAAAACAGCCCACATTAAAGGGTTGGATTTGTATTAGCCAGGTATCTGAACCCCCTCATTGTGTGTTTGGATGTTCTGAATTGGATGTTTGTGGGCTGGGATATCATGGTGAAGAACCGTTTGTTAGCATTTATAGTTATTCCTGATATCAGACAAGTTTTAAGTGGTCGGCTTATGTCATTGAATGACATGGATCCAATGATTTTCATACATAGAGTAAAAACAACACAGCCCTTGAAGTACAGAGGTAAATGTAACTTGAGATGTGTCTTTCATAACCAGGGGAGGGTCTGCTTTCGGTCCTCAAGTTCTGAAGTCAAGGATAAGAATGACGTGAGGGTTTTAGTCAAAAGGAGCCAACGCCAAATGAGCATGAAAATATTTCATCTCTGTAGCTTTGTGTCATAATCTGTTTCCCTGCACATTCCTCCATGTCATCCATGCCCACGCCACACTTAAGGATAAGGAAAAGGGGCTTAGAAGTCACTCCTTAAAATACTAATCCAAGGCCCCAGTAACATGAAGAGAAGGTTTGAAGATGAGCAAGAGCTTGGGAAGTTTACAACTTTCCAAGCAGAGAGGGGGGATGGATCTGACAATGAATTGGATTGCATACTGCATAACATACATTTTGCTATCAAAGTACACTATATTCTGGGTGCAGCATCTTTTAACTGGCCGGTGTTATTGAGATTTGTAATTCAGTTATTGAATATTATTGCCTCTGCTTGTTTCTGCAGCATTCTGTTCGATTTTCTTGTCTTACGGCCTCTGTTACCTGATGCCGGCATTTACTTTCCAGTGGGCATTTAAAATCCTCCAGTTTATATGCTGTACTGTTCAGCTTCTGAAATCAATCACTGATATAATTGCTTTTACAGGTTTATTACTTTTTAAATCGGTAGCCTATCATGGTTGTGTTAATATGATATTACCCAGAGCTTGTTTCAATTGTAAGTTGATTGAAAAAGCAAAGATTGTATTTTCATTGGGATTTTATGGGCCAGGAGTTAGCAGGTACATTATCTTCAACCTATTGACATTAACTTTATATTTACAAGACTGTCGCATGGCTGTTCTTTTTAGGAGAATTTCATTTTGTATTCCTTTATCAGTGTAGATGGCATCTTATTGCAGTTTCCACATATCAGACATCATTGTGTTGAAGTTGATCTCATACTGACTTGGAGTTTTACATTTCTTACAGTTGCATTTTATGTCTCTGTAACCCGACAACAATAGCAATGCTGCCAAGGTTTACAATGCTGACATTAGAAATGGCTCCTAGTAAAATCCTACAAAAGATGCACTTTGCTAGCGATAACACATACACACAAAATGTCAAGGCACAAGGGCTTCAAAGTCATCATCTTTATGTGTATATTAACTCAACATGTTGTTGAAGGATCCAGGCAACCTGTGTTTCATGCTTGTCCATCTGTTTCTCGTAACAGTGCCTTGGTAACTCTATATGTGGTATATCCAATCTCTTCTTATTGCTCCATTTTTATTATTATTGCACACTGGTCAAGAGTTGCCAGTTGCTAAGGGAGAATTTCAAAGATGCAGCCTCGTTTTTTTTTTTTATTATTATTATTTTTTTCCTTTGGTATGGAGTCAAGTCTTTGTTATTCTCAGCTTAAGAGAATCACACAAACACAAAAATAATAACCAGCACCCCAAAACATGTAATTAATTTACATCTTCACATATTCCTTTAGTTTAGAACCTGGACTTTAAGGGAGCAAGTAAATGCTGTTTTATCTTCTTTAGCCTTCGTGCTAGCATGTGTCAATATATTCTTATATTGTGAATATTATTCATTTTGCAAAACCTACGGTGCTGCTATGCCAAAGTAAAAGGCATCAGCCTATTTTATATACATATATAGAGAGAAATCCAGCCAAAATCAAAAGCATTACAGCATTTATGATGTTATTTATGGCATTTAGCAATGCTAACAGTGAATTAGCTGAAGCACTCAACACATTCTTGTCGGCGTTCCAGTCTATAACAGTGTAGTCGTTGTACTGATCACTGTAACAGACATGTTCCCTTCACAGCGCTGATGTGTTTTCAGTGTCAGGCCATTTTCATCAGAACCAGTGCTTGCATCTTCATATGAAGAACTCTTCCTGACAGCCCTCCATATATTTTATGCTCAGCCCGACCGAATCACACACACACATCCGCTAAAACAGAGATCAGCACCTTAGTTAATTTAAATTCTTGAATATTACCTTCGCATATATGTGATGAGTATATGGCAACCTTTTCATCAAAGGTTCTGTTGGCATGATGTGAAAGAGAGCATGAAGCAAAGTGGATTGCGAAGACTTGGATGATCATGTCAAGACCACTTCGTAGTGTCAATGTATTTGTCTCATTTATCATAGTCTTTAAAAAATGAGAATTTTAGATGTAGACAATATCGGGATTGCACTGAATGTATTTTTCATTTTGGAAATATCTATGCTATACATACGGTGAACATCCAACAAACTACGTAACTAAACCAGTAATTGGAAAAACAGCACCACTAAAAGACTGCATATCAATATATTTGAATTGCACACGAAATTGAAACATATGAAAATGTTATTACTACTACAGGATGAACATATCAGTTTTGTGTGGAGGTCAGTGTGAAAATATCTTCGTATGCACTTGTCCAACTTCTTTTTGTCTTTTTTTTCTCTCATTTTGATAACCACAACCATGCGTTTCTCTCCAGTCGGTAAGAGGTACAAGCCCAGTCTTGAAGGACTTTTAAAGGACTGCTCTGCTCTGGCTATCCAAAGCCTAAAGGAACACAGTCAGTCTTGAGTTACGTACTTGACCAAAAGGATTTTTTTTTTAACAGTGACTTTCAAACTTTAAAGGACCTTAATGGAGCGGTCTGTTGCGGATATCCAGACAGAGACTTTGATGCTGAAAGGAGAACTAATGAATAGAAACATTTTTTGTAAAGAAATATATTTTTATGAAAATAAATTTTTAAATAAAAAATAGAGAAAGTATAATAACAGATCTGTAAATGTTTTTCATTATTGTAGTACAAATGCTGGTGGGGATTATAAGATATATATATATATATATATACACACACACACACAAAGCAAAATAGAGACAAGGTTTTTTTTTTTTTGTAAATGTAAAAAAGATTGTATATAGAAGTTTACATATTGTAAATATATGTAATACTCAACATGGCTTGTCTGCAATATATAAAATGTATTTTATCTGTCTGTATATGATGCTTTGCATTGTGTTTAAGCTTATTCTACTTTCTTGAACTTGAAACCTATTTTGAAGTTTTTGGAATAAAAAATGAAAACATATATGTGCCTGCTATTTTCTCCATTGTGTGGAAGGTTTGTAACTTTGTGCATGATTATGCTTTATTCATCTGTGCGCCCAATCTGACAAAACAGGACAATTATTTTTCCTCTAGTTGTCCTGTAGTGCACATATAGTGGCTGTAAATTGAAGGCATTAAGGCACATTCAAATCCCATGTTTATGTAATATCAGCATTCAGGCGGCAGTAGGTTGTAGGGCTCACAGTCTGTAAATGTGTGTATATATATTTTTTTTTAGAATATGTATATTATTTATTTATTATGTTTCTATTATTATGTAATTTATGTATAATATATATATATATATTAAATGTTGAAGGAATCATGAACTTTTGCTTGTCAAAGACCTTCTTTTCTGCAACAATCCAAAAGTCAATGGAAAAATCCTATTGGGATTTTGTCAAGGGAACCAGGGTGAGACTAACCTCCAGGTTGGCCTACAAAAATACATCACTACATCAGTCTGTTAAATATTGGTTATGATGCCTTGGAAACCAATCTGAAAACATGTTTCTTAGAAGGTACCTTTTGTCAAAAATGCTGCCTTTTATGTCTGGCTGTTTAAGGGCAATGGAGGCTGAACAAGAATCAATGGCAGATTTGATTGTTGCATTTCCCTAATCCTTTATTTTTATTTTTTGTGTAATCTTTATTGTTATAGTTTTACATTACTCCTGTATCATATGTTGAATCTTGTTGCTCACTAGTGGTTGTTGTGGAACTATGACTTTATTTATTTGTGACTAGTCAGAGTGACCAGGCCCTTGGTCGTAACGGTTTGTTTTCTGCTGGTCACTTTCCCCTTAAACTCCATGTGCCCTATGGAGCAGTGTTGGCCTGTGTGATCTAGTGTATGTTGATTTTGTCAGCAAATTAGAGGAGCGTATGATGATGATGATTGACAGCAATTTTTTTTGTAACCAAAAAGCACTCTGTGTAGTTTCTGCCATCTAAAATTTCCTTATGTTTGTGAAGGCTACAGTTGTCACGTAATGATTTGCCCCTAAATAACTCCAAAGTGCTTTTCTAGGAAAGTTCCGGGTGCTTGTGCTGCTCCGAGTGTTCGGAATCATCATGCACTGTGCAGAGACCGTATCAGGAGGAGGCAAGTCCATTCATTCAAAGATGAATGGGAGGAAAAAGTTACTTTTATTCATTTCACTCATAAAGGCCTTTTGGTAAAAATTAATTTAAAGATTTTTGGCCTTTCCCAATTCCTGTTAGCTAGAGGCTGTACTTGCATGACTGCAAATAGTTCCCAGGGCTAATAACAAACTTTAATAAGGACTTATATGGCTTATACAGAATTGATACTAAAGCTAAAAGAGTGAGTGCTTTTATTAACAAACATGGTGACCTTTAAGAAAAGCTAAGCATGCACATTTTTAATAGGCCTATATAAATTAGATTATTCTACTTAAGTTTTATGAACACTTTACAATAAGGTTTAAATTGTTAATATTATTTAACTACATTAGTTAACAGGAACTAACAATGGAAAATATTTCTAAAGCATTTAGTACTCTTAGGTAATGTTAATTTCAATCTATATTAATAGATTATTAAAATCAAATGCATGTAATGGACCTGAGCTAACATGAACGATGAACAGTTGTAATAGGACCATTGTATTTTGTATTAACTAATGTTAATAAAGATTAATAAAAACTGTAACAAACGTATTGCTCGTTGTTAGGCCATGTTAAATAATTGGCGGAACTAAAGAGTCACGAGCACACGCAGCTTTTGCATATAGCGATCATCTGCAAGCTGAGACATTGACTTAAATAAAACAGAAACAACAACTTTATTGACTTCAATTTTAATTTGTTCATAAAACATTCGTCACCAAAATGCCAGGAACAAACAAACACACTTGCACAACTCCGTTGCTACCCGGAGAAAAAAACTGCATCCACTGTTCCCTTAACACTGGATTCCTATGGGAAGCTGAACAAGGTTATCTTTCTCTGTAACAGTGTAAATAAGTCAGAATGCATGAAATCGCATTAGACCTCCCCTATAAAGAATGGTTAACCTAATACAACTGTGCTCTTGCAATATTGCTTAATTATAGCAGATATCATTTAGCACTATAATTAATTGTAATGTGTTTTTTTTACTTTAAACCGCATAAACACATTTCATTACACCAAATACACAAAATAATGTTCTTTTTAGCAGCATCATATGACCCCTTTAAATAAAACAGGAACAACAACTTTATTGACTTCAATTTTAATTTGTTTATAAAACATTCGTCACCAAAATGCCAGGAACAAACAAACACACTTGCACAACTCCGTTGCTACCCGGAGAAAAAAACTGCATCCACTGTTCCCTTAACACTGGATTCCTATGGGAAGCTGAACAAGGTTATCTTTCTCTGTAACAGTGTAAATAAGTCAGAATGCATGAAATCGCATTAGACCTCCCCTTTAAAGAATGGTTAACCTAATAGAACTGTGCTCTTGCAATATTGCTTAATTATAGCAGATATCATTTAGCACTATAATTAATTACTGTTATTAAAATGCTCATTGTTACAATGATTGCTTCTTAAACCAAAAGCAATTGATACTGTGGATGAAAAAGAGTCTCCCCAGATTTCCTTCCAGCTCTCATTTTAATGAGACACCTGAGCTGGTTTGTCTTTCACAAGTTTTGGCAGTTTTGGGGGCAAGCGTGGAGAAACTTTTTTTTTTTTTTCTGAGAAAGACCTAACTTTAGAAATGAAACCCAGACCGATCCTTTAACCAAAGTAAAGTTATTTGCAGTGTTTATATGCACGAATTATCTTCAAATATTTATGAAATATCACCTTGAAGCGACAGTGATTTGATGCACTTGATTAATGGTTAATTATTTGAATATTGTGTCAGCCATAAAGTCGAAATTTCGGTTTTATTGGTTTAACAAAGCAAAATCATTCCAAGTACCCCCTGAACCTGCTTAACTACCCCTTTGGGGTGCATGTAGCCCTGGTTGGGAATGCCTGCTGTATGACACCAAGCCTCTGGGTGTAATAACATTCTTTAGAAGCCACTTCTCTAGGAAATACAAATACTGTGGGAGTACAGATGGCGTTTTGATCGTTTATTATTTATTCAGTTCTTGTCATTAGTGTCTTCCCGCTCGTGTTCAGTAGTAGCTTGAGGGAGCAGACTTTTATCCGAACTTTTGCAACAA